ACGCTTGCCTGGTGACACAGGCTTCCTCATGTCACGACTCACACTTTCCTAACCTGTTGCCACTCCCGGCACAGTGGCGGGTTGCTTAGTCTGGGTCCCAGTAGACAGAAAGGGGAAATATCAAGAGCATGGGCCAAAGCCTATGTATAAACAACAAGCATTTAATCTGTACGAGCGTAGCCACATGGCTACACTTCAAACCCAAAGAGGTTGGAGACTAGAGGCCTTGTCTTATATCCAGGAAGAGGGATGAGAAATACATAGCTTTGTTGGATCATCAGAACTTTTTCTACGCTACCCCTTATTCTTTAGTCAAAACAAATGCTCAGTCTTAGTGAAAGAGCCAAAGTGAGTGTTTGGGAGGTGTCTGGTGTGGCTGTGGACAGGACAGTGGTACCTATGCTTCTCTTGCTGTGTGCAAATCCTTTTTAAGTCTGTATATCTGTTGAGGTGGTTTGAAAGAAAATGGCCCCCAGAGGGAGTGGCACTATTAGTAGGTGTGGCCTTGTTTGAGTAGGTGTGTTCTTGTTGGAGGAAGCGTGTTCTGTGGAGGGGGCTTTGAGGTCTCATATATGCTCAAGCCACGCCCAGTGAGACAGACCACTTCCTGTTGCCTGAACAAGATGTAGAACTTTCAGCTAACTTCCAGCATCATGTCTGCTTGGATGTCTCCATGTCCCACCATGGTGATAATGGACTAAAACTCTGAAACTGTAAGTCAGCCAATTGCTGACTTTGCAGCAATAGAAACCATAACTAAGACATCTTCTCAGTTCAACTAACACCCCTAGTCACTGGCTGCGTCCTGGGTACAAATGCTGAGCACTAGTTCTACAGGCCCAGACACAATGTGATTAGCTTTAGTTATTTTGCTTTTCAGCAGAAGATGCAAACACTACAAGTTGATATCAGAGGCCATGGTTTATTAAAGGAAGTTTCACCCATGCTTGTCCATGCGTGTGCATGCATATGGAGACCAATGCAACCCCCTTCTTCACTTAAACTATACGAGCTGGCTTTCTTCATTTGCAGCTAAGAGCCCCAAATGGTTCAGGGACAGACACAATGTTTTTAAGGAAGAATTTGTTTAGGAGTATAATTATTTCTAACTCTTGAATTAAAGGGAAAATGGAACAGTACTATTTAAAATGGAAAGGAATGAATGTGGATAGTTTAAACATCTATATGCAGGCTAAAGGCACAGCGACAGCTCTGAAAATCTGTTCTAAATCTGAAAATTCAACAACTATTCAAGAAGCAAAGAAATGCAAATCAGCCACTCAGATTTTAGAAGGAGGGTTTCATTTTATATGAAGTGTGGAGGCCTGCTGTTCTTGCCTCTGTACTGGGTTCTATTTTTGTAGTGTCAAGAAATGATTCAGTCCCACATACTGGTCTTCTAAAATGTTACTATTATGATGATGGCTGCAGCAAAACAGATGTAAGAAAAGGAACCTTTAAATGTGCAGTTCCTCAGCCTGAATTAGCTGCGCCAACCATGTGGTAAACTTAATACTGTGCTTTAATGGAAAAAAAAACTGGATCTGAATTGTGAAGTATTTACATACACATGTGTTTATTAATGTTGAGTGTATCCACTCTGCCTCGTTCCCCCTGCCCCGCTTCCCCCACCTCTCTTCCCACCTCCTGTCAGCCCCTACTTTCTTCTAGACATTTCAACTTTCACTTTCATTCACTGTGGACATACATGTTTTTATTTGACTTTATACAATCTATTGACAACCACAAACAAAAAGGCAGACAACCACAAACAAGGGTAGACATATGATATTCATCTTTATGAGATTGACTTAATTTACTTCATGTGATTTTTTTCATCCATTTTCCTGTAAATGACATAACTTCGTTCTTCTTTATGGCTGAACTTTCCCCTTGCATGTATATGTAAACCACATTTTTCTCCCTTCTTCATTTGCTGGACACGTGTTGGTTCCATTACTTTGCTACTGTGAATGGTGTCGCAGTAAACACTGACGAGCAAGTATCCCTAAGATGTTGACTTGGAGTCCCCCAGGTAAAAGTCCAGCGGTAGTGTAGCTGTTTGATGTAAGAGGTCTATTTCTAGTTTTTTGAGGAAGCTCCATAGTTTTTCCACAGAGCCTGTGCCAACTTACATTCCCACCAGCAGTGTATGAGGATTCTCTTTGGGTTCCAACCTTCCCAGCATTGGTTGTTACTGTTTCTTAATGACTGACATTTTCACTGAAGTAAGTGCAAATCTCAGTGGAGATTTGACTTGAATTTCTCCCATGACTGACGAGGTTGAACATTTTCAAATATATTTATTGGTCTTATGTATCTTATTTTTTGTGTGTATGAATTGTCTGTTTATTTTACTAGCCAGTTTATAAGTTTCTTTCTGTTTAGATTTTGAGTTCCTGTTATATTCTAGATGCTAATCTTTTGTTAGATGTGTAAGTAGCAAAGATTGTCTTTTTTCATAGGCTAGCTACCTCTTCACTGTTTTCTTTATTGCACAAAAGATTATTGATTTCATAAGATTGTATTTATTGGTTATTACCCTATTTCTTGAATGACTGGAGTTCCATTCAGAAAGTCCTTGCCTGTGCTTATATCTTGACATAGTGTTTCCCCCACTTTTCCTCTTACAGCTTTAGTTTCAAGTCATATGGTAATGCCTTTGGTATATTGGGAATGGGTTTTTATACAGGGTTAGAAATAAGGACCTACTTTCTTCTACAGGTGGATATATAGTTTCTCCAGCACCATTTGCTAAAAGAGGTTGTATTTTTTTTCTGATGTGCATTCTTGGCATCTTTGTAAAAACACTCATCAGGCAGCTGTAGCTGTGTGAGTTTATATTTTTATCTTTTAGTCTGTTCCAATGACCCACTGTTTGTTTTTGTATCTTGCTGTTTGTTACTATGGTATTGTATAGCAAGTTCTTACAGAGTTGAAGTATTCCATCCTTCAGGATGCTCCTTAAGACTCTGGAAGTCAATAACTCACAAACCTCAGGAAATTCCCGAAACATGCCAGATTCACAGGGCTCCCTCTGCAAGGTTATAGAAACAGTAAAAGCTGCTGAAGAGAGGAGACCATCTGCTCTGAGAGCTGTCTTCAAGCTCAGCAGTGAGCTCTAGGGTTCCAGCTTTTATGAACTGTTCCTCATGCTAGAGCATGATGTAATGTATGTGCATTTGCGTTGCCTGTAGCTTCAGTAAACTCACTAGTTCATTGTGGAAGCCCATTTTCAGGTTTCCTAGTGGCTTTACCCAGCAGGTCTGCATAGAGAGATGATTAAACCATGGGCCTGAGTGCAGGTATCTGAGATGGTCTGCACTTAACTGTGCTGCGGGGGAGGTCTTTTACTCCACCCCTTGGCATTTCTATAAATACCCTGGGGCAGAGACCATCGAGGCCCATTGGAATGGGTTCGAGGCCCTCTCAGGCTATCCTATATTTTCTATCTGTTTATCTCCACACTCTGAATCCTTCTATCTAATATTTCCTGCTGCTCCCACTCAAGAGCACTCTGGGGATATGTGGTGGGTGGTCCCTCCCCCCCCCCCCCCCCCCCCCCGCACTTCAGCAACTTGAATTTGGTGGTATTGTTACTCTGTCTTTCACTAGTTCCCTATCTGGGCTGAGAGACGTTTGCATATGTCTCCCTAGGAACCAAGCTATGAAACACATGACTCTGTAGACTCACACGAAATGAGGTGTGCTGACACCTCTGCCTTTACTCATTTTGCTCAGGATTGCTTTGGCTGTCTGAGATCATTAGTGTTTCCAAATGAATTTTGAAGATTGTTTTTTCTATTTCTGTGAAGAATATGATTAGAATTTTGATGGGGATTACATTAAATTTGTAGATTGCTTTTGGCAAACAGACATTTTCACAATATTGATTGTTCTGATCCCTAGGTACTGGTTGTTTTTACATCTGTAGTTGTCTTCTTCCATTTCTTTCTTCAGTTATTTTAATGTTTTCATGCTAAAAGTTTTTCACTGACTTGGCTAGATTTATCTTTTATTTTGTTTTATTGAGGCAACTGTAAATGAGATTTTTCTTTGGTTTCTTCCTCAACTGCCTTGTAACTAGCATTTAGGAATGAGCTGCATAATTGTATGTTAATTTTATACCTTGCCACTTTGCTGACAGTGTTTATCAGCTCTAAGTTTTTGTACTGGAGGCTTTAAGGCTTAATGTAGAGAACCACAGCATCTACAGATGAGGAAGTTTGACTTCTCCTTTTCCTGTTTGTTTCTCTTTATTTTCTTGTCTTGTCCTATCGCTTTAGCCAAGACTTCTTGTATCATACACTGAAGAAGAGTGGGGAAGAAGGTGGACACCTTATCTTCTTCCTGATTGTAATGGAAATGGTCAGCATTTTCTCCCATTTATTATAAAGATGGCATAAGGTTTTTTGAATGCAAGCTTAATAAGTTTAGATGTGTTCCCTCCTCTTTACTCTCTGTCTTTGCCTCCACCTCTGCCTCTCTGTCTCTGTCTCTCTGTCATGCACATGCACATGCTTGTATATGTGTGTGTTTGTCTGTCTCTACCTCTCTTTCTCTCTGCCTCTGTGTGTATACATGTGTGTGTCTGTCTGTCTCTGTTTCTCTATCTGTCTTTCTGTCTCTGCCTGCGTGTATGTGTGTGTGTGTGTGTGTGTGTGTGTGTGTGTGTGTGTGTGTGTAGAAGCATGTGCTTGTGTGTTCATGTGTGGAGGCCAAAGGAGGGTGTCATATGTATTCCTCTATCACTTTCTGCCTTATTTCCTGAAAAAAGATCTCTCACTGAGCCCAGAGTTTATCATTTGGGGGCCGTGCCAGTGACCAGCAAGCCCCAGTGACCCACTTTTCTCTGCCTCTCCAATGCTGGAGTTCCAGGTGCACACGTGGTCATACTTGGGTATTTACGTGGGTGCTGGGGCTCTCTGAGCATTCTTACCACTAAGCCACCTCCCCAGCTTTAAATATGCCCCTTCTTTTTCCAGATTTCCTTTTTTTAAAAGGGGAGAATATGAATGCAGTCCCCATCACAAATTATGCAGTCGAGTTTCTCAAATTTGGGGAAATTGCAGGGGTCAGCACATCTGGAGTGCAATTGATAAGCCTTACCCTGGGAAAACCACCTTCATGATCATGGTCTCTCCCTGCCAGTCAAGTACACCTTTGGTACATTTCTTCTGCACTTTTATATGATATTGGATTCTGTCAGAAATCCTTTTCTGCATCTATGGAGGTGATTGTGTGATTTTTCTGGGGTAAGTTTTATAGACAACTGAGAAAATAAATACCAGATTCTGAAACAAGGTGGCTACTGCTATAGCTTAAAAACAATGTTTCTCTTTTGTCTTCTGCTCTTACTTTCTTTGTTCAAGTCCAAATTTATATAATCTCCTTGGCTATCAGTTCTAGAATGTTCAATGATTTTGAAAGTATCTTTTGATTCAGCTTCTCAAATACTCTCATTTCTTCCACTGAACACTGACTTCTGAAATGTAGCTTGACTATATTCTGTTACACTGAATGTACTGAGTGTGTGTGTGTGTGTGTGTGTGTGTGTGTGTGTGTGTGTATACACATATTCAACAGCAGGTCCATCACAATCTTGCACAATTCTGTATCTTGCCATAGAATGTTACTAGAAAGAGCTATTTCACATATGCTTGGTGGGTACAGGACTGTAATCTCAGCTAGTCTGGTGTCTGAAGCAGGAGGATCACATGTTTAAGGACTGTGGGAGCTACAGAGTGAGTTCAAGGGCAGCCTAGGCAATTTAATGAAACTTTATTTCTTAATGAAAAGAGAGGGCTGGGAATGTGGCTCAGTGGTAGAATATTTTCTCACCATGTATAAGGCCCTACCTTCGATGCCTAACACTCTTGTGGTAAGTTTGAGTAAGAATGGCCTCCATAGGCTCATGTGTTTGAATATTTGTTCCACAGTTAGTGGAAATGTTTGGGAAGGATTAGGATGTGTGACCTTGTTGAAGGAAATGTGCTACCTAGGCCAATGCCAGGCCCCAAATCTCCCCCCACTTTCCACCCCACCCTCTGCTGCTGCCTTCATATCAGGATGTAAAGCTCTCAGATACTTCTCCAGCACCATACCTGTTAGCTTTCCCACCATGATAATCATGGACTAATCCTCTGAAACTGTAAGCAAGCCCCCAATTAAATGGTTTCTTTCATAAGAGTTGCCATGGTGATAGTGTCTTCTCGCATCAATAAGACAGTAAGTAAGACAGAAGTTGGTGCTAAGTTTAGGGAATTGATGTGACATGCCTGACCATGCTTTTGTCTGGAGGAATATGGAAGACTTTGGGAATTAGAACTAGAAAAGTGGTTGAAAGCTTTAAGAACTTAATGGGTTATTCTAGCAGGATCATGGAAGACAGTAGGGTTGAGGGCATTTGGGAGTATGGAGGACTGGCTCAGGGGATTTCAGAAGGGAAGAATATTAGCAGTGGAGTAAGTGGTCTACAGACCATTCTTGTGATATTTTGACAAAAGGTGTGGCTGCTTTTTGCCCTTGTCATAAATATTTGCCAGAGACAAGCCTAGTACTGACTGGGTTATGTGGTTATTAGTGATCACTCTTGTGTAGATCTACAAAGAAAAGCAGTAAGCAGGGCAAAGAGAAATTCAAAATGTTTGAAGAGAAAAAGAGAACTACTAAGTGTTGTGTCGGAACCACATCTTGTGCTCAAGGAGATAAAAAGTTTGAAGAAGGCCTGATTCAAAATGGAATAAAAGGAGTGGTGCCCTCAGGCGAGACCCAACCTAGCTAAGCCTCCAACTTGTGAAAAGAATTAAAGAAAAACCTAAGCCACAGAGGAAACCATCAACAATGGAAAGCTGGTGCCAATGTGACTCAAGGAAGGATCAGGTTCCAGCCCCAGGAAGCAAGAGAACCTGGCAGCTTCGGCCACATGGTTCTGGATTTAGAGTCAAGCAAGATACTGGAAAGGGGTTGTGGAACTTCCTCTGACGTTAAGGAAAGTTGCTGCAGTGAGGTGTGTTACAGGGAGTCCATAGAGGCCATTACATGGAGCTGTGACAATGAAGCCTGGATTGTTTTGGAGACCCCAAGATGGTATAAGTGTTGGAGTTGTGAGATATCAGCCAAGCAGAAGTGAGTAAAGGGTGTGGAACCATCCCCAAAGAAAGAAGTATGTTGCAATTAGCAAAATTGAAGGGGAAGAGCCATCTGAGTCCTTTGCCATTGGATGTGAAGATACAGGATCTGAAGTTTGCCCAACTTTTTTTTTTTTTTTTTATCTTGCTTTGGTTTAGTATTTCTTCACTATTCCCCCTTTCCTACCTATTAAAATAATAATGTATATTCTGTGCCATTGTATGTTGGAAATATGTGCTTTGCTTTTTTTGTTTTGATTTACAGGGGGTTTAGTTTAGGGGTTGCTTTTGAGTCTCAGAAGAGACTTTGGAATTTGGGGTTTTTAAACTGTCTTGAGACTGAAAGACTATGGGAACTTTTGAAATTGGACTAAATGCATTTTCCATCTCCATTATGATATGGCTATAGAGGCCTATGGGTGGCAGGGAAAAATGTGGTGGGTTGAGTGAGAATGGGCCCCATAGGTTTATAGGTTTAAATGTTGGTTCCCAGTTAGTTTGTTTGGGAAGAATTAGTAAGTGTGACCTTATTGAAGTAGGTTTTGCCTTGTTGGAAGAAGTGTGTCCTTGAGGGTGGACTTGGAGGTTTCAAAAGCCAATGCCAGGCCTATTATCTCTTTCTCTGCTTTTTGCCTGAGGACCAGGATGTAAAGCTCTCAGCTACTGCTTCAGTCCCATGCCTGCCTGCTTCCTGCCAAGATGATTGTTGACTAACCTGCTGAAACTGTAAGCAAGCCACTCCCAACTGCTTTATTTTGTAAGAGTTGCCTTGGTCATGATGTTTGTTTATAACAATAGAGCAGCAACTAAGACCACCTTAAAAATATGGAAAGAAGAAAGGAATGAATAAATGAAGGAATGAATGAATGAAGGAAGGAAGGAAGGAGGAAAGGAAGGAAGGAATGAAAAGGAACTAGCTCCCTCTAAACAGTAGTCTCTAGATGTTAAGAAATGAAAAAGCCTAGTCACATGAATCAACTTCCAGAAATATCTGGACTACTTACTATGGTTTTGCAATTCTTCAAAACCTGGCCTCTCCTTTGCCTTGCTCCATCCAATCATCAGACTATAGTTCTTCCATCTGTTTTAGCTCTCTTATGGTGAGAAGCCACTGCCCCCTTTCCTGCTTGTCCAACACTCAGTTGGCAGGTTAGTTTCCTCCTTAAGGTGGTCTCTCTCACTGATCATGGCAGATTTGGGGCCCCTGTTTTATAAAACGTACGTTTCATGAACTTACTCACCAAACACACACACACACACACACACACACACACACACACACACACACACACTCACAACAGAGTTGAAACTAGAAAAACTATTAGCTTTATATCCTCTCTTGTGACTCCTGTGCCTTTGCCTGGTCACCTTCCTTCCTCCTCACCCAATGTGACCATTTCTTGGCCTCCTTTCTCAACATCATACTGTACCCAAACTTACAGCTCTTTACATATTTACATGTAAGCATTATAGATAAGATACGCATATAAGGGAGAAGGTTTTTTATTCTTTTTGAGATTAAGTGACCCCACTTAATATAAATTCTAAGTCCTTCCATTTTCTAACAAATTTCATGATTTCATTTTTCTGTAACACTGAATAAGATGTATATGTGCACCAGATTTTTCTTAGACATTTGTTGGTGGACTTCTTGTTAATTCTAGCTCCTTGCTATAGTGCGTAGAGCAGCAGTAAACATGAATGTGCACCTGTCCCTATGGTAGGGTAGGTGGTTCTCTGGGGATAGATCCAGGAGTGAAATAGCTGTGTCCTACTCATTCTATTCTTTATTTTTTTGAGGAACCTCCAAAATTATTTCCATCATGATTATATTAGTTTATACTCCACCAGTTATGTAAGTAAGTATATAATGGAGTGTGTCAGAGCTTTTCTGGCTTCTGGTGACCTTAACTTGGAGTACTAGGGGCTTGGACAATTAATTGCCACTAAAACTACTGAGCCAGTGGATTCTGAGTTCTCTATTTCACCTCCAAGAATTATAATGGCATTTGAACAAGAAGGGAGCAGATGTGAACTGAATTATTAAGGAAGAGAAAGAACACCAAGAGTGGGAGGAGCTCCAAGGAAAGAATACCACCTGATTGTTCAGCCCAATTGGCTCTTGTGGAACTTCTGGTGGGCACTGGATAGATACTAAGGTAATCTTCATTGAAATTGGTCATCTTTTAATGTTTCCATGTCTGAGACAGTAATGAGTAACACTTACTATGCAGACTCCTTTAGCCCAACCAGATAGTTAATCCTCCATTCTTGGGAGGGACTCGTATGTGCTAGTGACTAGCTCACATCCACTGTGGACTCCTTCTTTACTGCCTAAGTGAAAATATCTCCTGTCTCACTACTTCCAAGTGTTTCATGAGAAATACTCTACAAGTTTCTTCTCCATCAGACCAGTTCAGAAACCACTTGATATTTCAGTAATTGGATGAATTTTGAGAGCATGATTAACTGCACTAAAGTTTGAATCAACTGCAAGTAATGACCATTCCTGAAGGTGTGTGCTTGCATCAGACTCTCTGGGTATCCTGCTTACAAGCTACTTCTTGGAGACAGGTATCTTCCTTCCCTCCCCTTCCCTTCCATTCCTCCCTTGCTGTGAAATAATCCTCTTGTACACTGTAAAGATTTGTCACTTGAATTGGTTTAATAAAACACTGATTGGCCAGTAGCCAGATAGGAAATATAGGTGGGGTGACCAAACTAAGAATTCTGAGAAGAGGAAGGGCAGAGTCAGGAGTCACTAGACAGGCACAGAGGAAGCAAGATGAGAATGCCATACTGAGAAAAGATACCAATCCGTGTGGCTAAACATAAATAAGAATTATGGGTTAATTTAAGTGTAAGAGCTAGTTAGTAATAAGCCTGAGCTTCTGGCGGAACATTTACAATTAATATAAGCCTCTGTGTGGTAATTTGGGAAGTGGCTGCTGGGTATTTAGGAGTTGCTGGTGGGACAGAAACTTCTGTTTACACTTCCTCCCTTATTTCCTTTCTTCTCTCCCTTTCCA